TTTATCAATCTTGACAAACCTACATCATGGGTTTCATATAAGGCTGAAATTCAGAAGTTATTACTAACAATCAGTATACAAAAACACTGAAACAGAGTGTCTGATATTGTTTAAAAAAAAACAGAGTGTCTGATGTACTAAAGTTCTCGTAGATGAAGCTTTTTCCATGGCCTCTACAGTTGTTCCCTTTGGCTTTCAGTTAGCTTCTAATTATGCATCTGTTTTATTTAGATGAGGTATGGACTATGGGAATATGTTGCTGCCAGTATGTTGTTAAAGTTCTGAAAATTACGGGTTAAAAGTATGTTGATTGCAATTTTGGCTTCAAGTGACAGCAGCATCCTTGTGTACATCTCGGTGCGAACTAGCTTATGTACATCTTGCTGACAGCATCCTTGTGTACATATGGCAGCAAGTTAAGTTTATTCATGCTTTGAATCATTTTCAATCAAACGGCAACACAATGGTACGCAAATTGATATTCATGATTGATTTTGGCTACATGCAAAGCATTAAGTGCCTGTAGACGATTCCTTGTCTCTGGGTTGTATGATCTGTCTTTTTAGTTGTCTGCGTGTTAGATTCCAGTCTCTTAGAGACGACCTCCCGTCTGTGGGTTGTACGATAACTACAGGGTTGCAATTGCAGAGAGAAAAGGAAGTTATTAGTGCATAAAATGGAACTAACTCACCTTATTCAATAGCATGCCGCAGTCCCGTAGGATTTAGTGCATAAAGAGTTTCTCTCACTTGTGCAGCAACTCCTCCAGGTATTGATTGTGCCGTCTTAATCTAATCCAATCCAATCTCATTGAACTAACAGAGAGAAAATGGACATGATTCAGCTGCACTTAAAATAAGCCGCAGAACTGTCCAAGAACAGGGGAACAAGATTACAGCAGAACTAAAGTAGCGGGACTGCAGGGCTGCGAGGTTGGCTGGTAAAGGCCTTTGCTGATAGTTTCACCTAGCTTTCTATTATGTGTCCATTGTATATTGTCCAAACTCAAAGGCGACGCTTTCATCTGCGTAGGAAACTGTCTAATGTCTGCTACTTGCTTTTATCTATTGAAAGAAACTGAGCATTCTATTAATAAAGGATCAGCTCTTTATAATAGGAACATGTATCAGTCATTTTTATTTTTATTTTGCAGGATTGAAAACTGAAAGTTCACTTCAGTAAACCAAAAAATAGGCACAGGGCATGTTCCGGGTTACCCGACGTTATGTTCGAGGTCAGGGACGAATTGGTGAGCACATTGCTGGCCTTCTCTAGGCTCTCGAACTGCTGCAGCACCCACTGATGCCTGATGTTACAGTGGAATACCAGGCACTATTTCCACTTCTTGGGAAACAGAGGCATGTCGTTTAACCAAACCTCGACAGCTAGAATCCCGAGCGTGAACAACTCTCGCAACTGAGGCCTCGAGCACAACACAGGCAGCTGCTACAGGTAAAGGCCGAGCGGCAGAGATCATGGTATTCCGGATGGCCATTTCATCGAACAATATGGGGCTGTCTCTCGAGCCTGCTAGCGGTTAGCCTGCTATGTCGTGGCTTCCGTCACCCGTCAGTGCTGCCGCGCGGCACCGCTGCCTCGGCCGCCATGCTCCTCTCCTCGGGCCGTATCTACGCAAAAGATGCCGAGGCAACAGGGAGGGGTGCATCTTTGCGGCCGCAACGGCGCGGGCGGCGGAGCATGTCGAGTGCGGAGGACGGCAGTTGGGATGGCTAAGCACCGCAGCATATCGTAGTGCTGGAGAGGTGCACGTATTATTGACGTGCGCTGGCCGCTGCAACCGCAACGGCTGCTGCGCAATACGCGAAACGGAGGGAGGCCGCGCACGGGAATGAGGAGGGAGGAGGGGCTTCCACTCGACTCGCACGCGCTAGTGCTGTCGCCTGTTGCCAGTGAATCGTATCCGTGTCGCGTCGTCAACTACGGAGCAGCTGGGGACGGCGGAGGTAACGGGAGGAGGAAGAGGCGCACGCGGCGGCAATCGGAGGACGGAGTCCGGCGCGGCTGGTAGAGAGAGGCCGAGGATGAGGGGAGTGGGTTCGCGAACATTCGCGACCGTCGGGTTTGCGGCTTAATGGGCAAGACCTGAGGCAACCCGGAATCGACACGTGGCAAAAATAAGGCGTTGGATTCGTTGGTGCAGATTTCGTTCTTGTAGGATTTGTTCAGGTTATCACAGACCATCTGAAAATCAGCGAGATGCACATATAATCACAAGGAACATCGAAGCAGCAAACAGTATACTAAGGGGGGCGTTTGGTTCTTTAGTCGCTCCTAAAATTTATGTCACATTAAATGTTTAGATACTAATAAGGAGCATTAAATATAAATTAATTACAAAACCAATTACATAGATGAAGGCTAATTTACGAGATAATTTTTTTAAGCCTAATTAATCTGTCATTAGCACATGTTACTGTAGCACCACGTTGTCAAATCATGACCTAATTAGACTTAAAAGATTCGTCTCGCAAATTAGTCGCAAGTTGTGCAATTAGTTTTGTAATTAGTCTATATTTAATACTCCATACATGTGTCAAACATTCGATGTGATAAGAATTTTAGGAGTGACTGTAGGAACCAAACGGGCCTAATACTGATAAACATATTCCTCATCATGCATTCATTAGACAATATCATACTTCAGTTTGCAACGACTACTCATAACATTCATACTTCAGTTTGCAACGACAGTATCGCCAAATCATAATACAAGTCAAAGAAAAACAGAAAGACTAAATAGGCTATCACCACTGTGTACGTACGTACGAAATAACCAGCAAGCGATTCCACGATCGAATCATCTAAAGCGATCGTTGATCGTTGATCGAGCACAGCTCATCCATGCAAGCAACTATAATCAATCCACACAGAACCAACACGTAATAACAACCATACATGCATGCATCTACAAACACCTCCCACAACTCAATCCCCATCCGAAGTTCGACGAACGCGGCGGATTGGCACAGGAAAAAGAGAGTTTTAGGTCTTTCACGTTATTCCGTCCACCTTCCGTTTTACCGTTTGACTGCTCTGACATATGAGCCCACCCAATAAAGATGTCTAAAATGCCCTCTCCCCCACCTCTGTCCTCTCTTGCGCGCTCAGACGCCCGCGCGTCGCAGATGCGCTCGTTTCCCTGCTCCGTCTGGGGTCTGCGACTTTGCAGCCTCCTGCGCCGCCGCGCTGGAGGAGCTGGCGTGCTTCGCGCTCGCGGTGCCGGCCGGCGTCCTCCGCGGGCGCAACCGTCTCCGCGCGCGGTGGCCGCGCTGCTCGACTCCGCCGGCGCCGGCGGAGGGGACGCTGGACGGCATCGCGTGCCAAGGCCCTGGCGGCATCGCATGCCAGCCATGCTCCACCCGCGAGGCCTCCTTCCCTAGCTCGTACGACGACGACGAACAGGTGGTGGAGGAGAGCGTCGATGCGGCGCAAGACCTGGACTGGGCGGCCGACGAGGTGGCTCAAAACCATGGCGCGTCCAAGGGCAGATTCGCGGTGCTCTGCACGCCAGGGCACCGGAGCCGGCGGCCGCGGCTTTGGTCGGCGGCGAGAAGCGAGCGCCGCTCGACCTCGTGACAGTGATCGACTTCAGCAACAGTATGCGTGGCCAGAAGCTGTTTCTGGTCGTACAGGCCGTGTCGTACTGTCGTTCGTCATCCACAACCTCGGACCGGCGGACCGCCTCAGCCCTCAGCGCGTCGTTTCCTTCTCGAATGCGCGACCCGCGTCCCGCGTGCTCCGTCTCGCGCGCATGATGGCCGACGGGAAGGCCTCCGGGGAAGCGCGCCGTGTCCGTGTGGCCGCCAAAGTCCTCGATGATCGCCGGCAAAGGAACGCCGTGGCGGCAAGTCGATTTTGTACTCACGGCCACCGTCAATCGGGCGCGGGCGCCGATCTCCAAAAGCCGGACTATGCCAGCCTGAATATCTACAGGCTGTGCGTAGATGGCGAAGGCTTCTAGAATGGTCCGAGCCGGGCCGGCCTCCAGCGCGCGTCGTGAACGCTCACATACATGCATTGCTATACTGCCTCTAGCCGGAAGCACTTGCATTGCTATACTAGCTTAGCAGTTAGCACATCGTGAACGCTCACATACATGCATGAGACCGTATATCACATAGAAGCTCGTACACTTGCTAGCTTCTTCTTTTTCTCCCGATTTCTCGCTTCTTGATAGCTCGTATGATCGATCAAACCATCCATCAAACTAGTGCCATGCCCCGGCCAGTTCGTGTTCTAGCTCATATGTTGGCAGCGGATTCAATTCTCGCGCCGTATATCGCTCCGCGTATACATACGACGTACGCGACTTACTTAGAGAGAAATACATGGACGCCATAAAGCTGTCCAGATATGTGTAGCGTGAGTTCAGATACGCATTTGCTAGCATGTATGCACGTTTGTTTTCATGCAGCTAGCTAGCTGCTAGTTTGCTTGCTTCTTATTTTCTTCTCCATTTAATTAGCGCACGTGAATATACATGCACATATTGCCTATTTATTTTTCTTCTCCTCAAGTACAAAATGCTTCTCATTAATTAATAGCAAATATATATGCATTCACATGGGAGAAATCTTTTGTACAAAATCTCGTCAAACACTCAACGGACAGCATAAGCTCACACATCAGCTGCGGCCACAACAACCGTCAGCCAGCGTCCACGTTCGAGGTGCTGCGGAAGTCGGTGGCACAAGAGGAACAACGAACTTTTGTGCTTAGACTTTTCGCAATGCAGTTTGACACCGTTAGAAATAAAAGTGGATGGAATGGCGTGGAAGAAAAAACAAATAGCGTAGTGCTACCTGTCACCACTCGAACTTTTTAATGGTTTGAAGGTAATTGCAATCTTTTATAATGGCACTCCATAAAAAACAATCCCAAAACCATGCGTTGAAGCACACCCAGCGCTCCAAACCCCAAGCGGGCGATCATAGCAACCGGCACCGGCAGGAACAAGAGAGGGGATCGAATACGTATACCTAGAATGGCTAGAGTACTCGTAGAGCTTCCCCTTAGTGGAGAAGACGATGAGCGCGACCTCTGCATCGCAGAGCACGGAGATCTCGTGGGCCTTCTTCAGCAGCCCGTTCCGGCGCTTGGAGAAGGTCACCTGGCGGTTGATCTTGTTCTCGATCCGGCGCAGCTGCACCGGCCCGCGCCCCATCTCCGCCGCCTCGACACCTACCCTCTCCCGCTCACTCTCGGCCCAAGATTTCCATAGCAGTGCTCATACAAAGGATAACTTAAATGCAACATAAAAAGGAGATAGATCAACTGTGGCAACTATTTCTGTAGAACACCCACTGCCACGTTTCACAACACACGCTGCCACATTTATGTAGTCCACGACATTTTCCAAAAGACAAGAACACATGCTGGCAAAGAAATGGCAACCAAGCAGAATCCTACATTTACAAAACAACAGCTCAAAGTTTACAACCAAGCAGATTTACAAAACAACAGCTCAAAGTTTAACGCCCTTTTCGTTTGGGCTTGTTTGGCTGATAAGCCATGGCTAAAAGTACTGTTGACTGATTTGATGTGAGAGAAAAATATTGTTCGTTGACTAAAAAAGTATGGCTTATAAGCTAAACAAGTCCAAACGAACGGGACGTACAAACTAAGAAAGGCTGCTTACCAATCTAGTATCTTCATGTTTCGTCCAGTTCAATCGCCTCTCAGTCCTATAATGGCAGCCCTTCGACGGGTTCATCCTCATCAACATTGATTGTTTCTTTGTCTTGTGCATTGCTTTCACCAGGCGGGGGTTCCTCTAAAACTTGGATTAGTTGGCGAAATTCTAGTTGTGCTTGTTGTATTGCCAACTAAGGCCCCGTTTAGATGTTCCCAAAATCCAAAAAAATTTGTACAGTACCCATCACATCGAATCTTGCGGCACATGCATGGAGTACTAAATGTAAACAAAAAAAAACTAATTACACAGTTAGCCGAGAAATCGTGAGACGAATCTTTTAAGCCTAACTAGTCCATAATTGGATAATTTTTACCAAATACAAACGAAAGTGCTACAGTAGCCAAAAGCCAAAAATTTTCGGAACTAAACACGTCCTAAATGGAAATTTTCTGGACTACTGTTTGATTGGAGAAAATTGGTAAACCCACCTGGTGGGTACATCCTAAAAAATATAAAAAGAGATGTTCAATGCCTGAATGTTGACACACTCACAGAAACTGTTATTTTCAGTTTCAGAACCAGTTGACAGAGCAGTAGACCATTGTATACTAGTGAAAAAATAATGGAAAAATTAGTCTCCTAGCATTGAAAGGTCACCGAAAAATACCAATGAAACTTTACCGTTCCGTAAAATTCCATAAAAGGATGCAACGTCACCTGCATATAACATTCCGTCACGTTTGGAGCAAACGCCGTCGCCTCCATCAAACGCCGCCGCTTCTCCTTCGGTCCTTCCTGAGGTGAGTGCGGCCGCATCCTCTGCTCCATGTGGGACCTGCTACAACTGCTGCTACAGCCTCCGCTTCGCCACGCAGAGAGCTCACAGTAGCAATCCCCGAGCCCGAAGCAAGCAAGCGAAGCACGCGCACGCGGCCGGCGTCAAGCTCCGGCTCAGGTGCGTGGGCACCGGGCAGCAGCAGCCAAAGCAGAGGGGGTTGGCGATCGTGAGCGCGGAGTACTGCGACCCAGAGGAACGCGTCCCGACGGTGCGCAAGACCTCGCACTTCTCCCCCGGCGACGGCTTCGCAGCCTACGACCACCGCACGGGCGGGCTCGCCTTCCACGCCGACACCTACGGCCGAGGCTACGGCAGGGGCGCCGCGTCGGTGGCGAGCTCGCGCAGTCGCGTTGCTCGGCCCGACCGGTGAGCCGCTCGTCACCGTGCGCCGGCGGCGCCCGTCCCTGCACCACCGATGGGAGGGCTTCCTCGGCGCCCGCGCCGACGGTGGCCAGAAGGCGCTCTTCTCAGCCCGCCGCCCTCCTCGTCGCCGGCCACCGCCCCCACACTCACCTCGGGAAGGAGAAGGAGAGGAGCTTGACGGAGACGACGACGTTTGCTCCAAACTTGACGGAATGCTATATCCAGACGCTGCATTCTTTGCATGGTATTTTATGGAGCGGCAAAGTTTCGATGGTATTCTCGGGATACGACATTTTTCCAAAAATAATCGATTGAAAGACTAGTGTACATACTGCAGGCAACATATAATCCACACACAGAGTTAATATTTTTTTTAAAAAAAAAGAATATGCAATGCCATCCAATATGACGCATGTCATTATCATAATCTGTAATGTTAATGTAAAAAAAACGTACAGAACCAGCATGCCTGAAGAACGTACCCTTCAGTAGGAGACGAATCAAGCCTGAAGAACGCCCCAAGAGATGATGCTGTCCACCATGCAGGAACACCTTGAACACTAGTTGCAACATCACCGGCGGCGGCCGAAGCAGGGGTTGCAGCACCATGGGCGGCAGGAGAACCAGAGGATCGCTTGGATCCAGTGAGTCGATCCATTCTCTGAGAGATTGGAGATGCAGAAGTGGGAAATCGATTGGAGGGGCCGTTGCACTGCATCTTACTGAGGGGATCTAGATGAGGGCGCGAGAGAGGGAGATGATGCCACCGGTACGTGATGGATTTGGCTGCGGCAGAGGAGGATTTAGCTGCGGCAGAGGGGAGCGATGTGGGAGGATACGAGGGGGCGCGAGCGGCGCGGGAGATGAGCGCGCAGCAGGAGGAGAATCGAGAGCGCTGCGCTGGGGAAGAGCGGAGCAAGGGCGCGCGCAAGGAACGGAGGGACAGAGCGCCGCGAGGAAATTGGCGGCGGCGGCGCAAGGGGATCCGGGCGAGCTGAGGAAGAAACGAGCTGGGTCTCCCCATCGGTGTTTCGGTGGTTTCCTAGCGCATCAGGACGACGGTCGACTCGGTTTCGCTCGGAGGAAATCGTTTATGTGTTTTCTCCTCTCCCTTCCTCTCCATAATAAATCTACTGTCACATCAAATTACTGATTTGTCAAGCTAATTAATAAGTATTATTTATTATTTTATTACAAGAGAAAAACACCGTTCATTTATAAAAAAAAATTACGGCTCATGAGACCTGTCCTTGGACTGTCTCCAACGATGAGCACTCAAACCCAACACCCATTTAGTAGTTTGGGGCGTCAACAGTAAAAAAAAAATGGCTTGACCTATTTTCTCCCTTCTCCAACAACCACAGGCGACCCATTCTTCCTCTTCTCCGTCGGCGGCATGGGCTTCGGAGCGGCGGCGGCGGCCGCACGCCTGCAACCAGGGCACTAGGAGCGGCGGCGGTGCCCGCACGCCTGCGGCCTGCAGGGCCGGGCAGGACTAGATCCACACAGGCGCCGGCGGCATCTCCGGCGAGCACAGGCTCCTCCGGCGAGCACGGGCTCCGGCGACTCCTCCGGCGCGGGCCCGCTGCTCCTCTCCACGCCGGCCGCACCCACGCCCCACCCCGCTCCTCGCCTCGCCGAGCTGACCGCGCCGTCGAGGGCCGCGCTGTCGACCAGGGAGGTGGAGGGGGAGGCCACCGCGCGTCGACCAGGGAGGAGGAGGGGTCGACCGCTCCACGCCGCTCGCCTCGCCGCCGGCCGCTCCACGCTGCGGGGCCCACCGCTACGAGCACGCCAGAGGTTTGCGTCGTCGTTCAACGAGGACGCTTTTTTGCGTTTCGGTGCAGCAGGGGCGCAAAATGCGTAGCCTCTTTGGGTCTTCTGTTGGAGAGGTTTTTGGTTACCTAAATACACTGTGCACGCTGCATTTTGGGTTTGGGTTGCTTTGTTGGAGATAGCCTTACGGGCCAGAAGGATGGGCCCAGCGAGGCCGGCGTGCGAGTGCTGCGCTCGTCAGGGCACGCAGGGCAGGGATTGGTCGAGCCCGTCGTGGGCCTGAAGGTGCGGCTGTGGGTAGTCCGGCTCCGGCGGTGAGAAATGGTTTTCCTTGACGGCACAAGGGAGCGAGGTGGCAAGTGACAGGTGGCATAGCTGCAGGGCGACTGGCTGATGGGTGCACATGAATGTGGGACCACATGTCTGTGGGTGCCCCCCTTTTTCTTCCATTTTCGGCTATGCTAGGCTGCCTTTCTCGTATAGTTGGGCTATCTTCAACAACAACACCCAAAATATAAAACACATTCGTCCTTTGGGTAGCGCTACAGGTAAAGAGTTCAATACATATTCAGCATCTTCTCCAATAGCAGGACCCAAAAGAGAATCATTTCTGCAGATGGGTTTTCAGGAGAAATGATGACCATATTTGGGTTGTGCCTATCAGGCAACCCAAAATTGGTCTTCCGTATAGGTACTCTGTTGGAGCCTAATTTTGGGTCTCTCGCTACCCATTTTGGGTTTGAGTTTTCATATGCGTTTCTCGTTGGAGGCGGTCTTACTATGGCTATTGTTGCATGTTTCTTCTCCCTCTCTAAGACTATTGTAGCTAACCAGCCGCAACAACACAAAACCGCGTTGTAATAAGCACAGTCGATCTGTGTATATTATGATATTACTGGACTGCAACATCCCCAAATTGGTTGCTGAAATTGACTCTCTCTTCTTCTTTTTTGCTTACATATCAAGCATACTACACTATTACAAATTAAAGCATACAAATACAAATTCTGATCAAACTATCTTAAGTGAACTTTTTCACGAAGAATGATAGTAGCATTGTAGCAAGAGCAAACAAAATTAGCTAAAACTTATACCTAGTAGTTTCTTTTTAACTCCAAGAGAGCAAATAAAAATATGTTGATTCAAGCAGCAGAATACAATCGCCACAATTATCATGGACAATTTGTGCTCCTCGTCGCACACCGACACTTCCTCAAGCTTCTGTCCGCTCCTCCACTTCGCGAGCATTGCCACTAGCTAGTCCGTTTTGGAGGCCATTGTGTCAGAGAAGATCGATCGTGCACGTCATCAACGTAGTGGCGCTGCTATAGGTGCGACGGGCAGCATATTTATGGCCTCACCGCGATGGTTTCAATGTGCGCGAGGAGAAGGGTGTCCTCTTTTTTTGTGCTACGAATAGCGTGCCATCTTCTCTGGGCTCGTTCGGCTGGCTCAAAAACCAGCTCACTGTTTATTCTTTCATAAATTTCTCTAGATTTTTCTAGATTTTTCTAAATTCCTCCCAGCGAACAGGGCCTATCTCAACTCGACG